CACACACACACACACACCAAGTTTAGATTGAGAGGCAGATGAAAATTGAAACAATAAGAATGAGACATCCATGATGTTTCATGCTTCACTGAGAATGTGCATTTGGTCCACTGAAGAAAGAGTAGCTTCACAGCACAGGATATGCATGCATTGTCTGTTTCAGTTATGAACAACTGTTACAAAACATGCATATTTAATTGCGGGTACAAAAGTAGTTGCATTATAAGCTGATTCTCTCTCCACTTTGACCTTTTGGGCATTTGGGGGAGGGGGTGACGGAATTTCCTACTAATAGTTGCACATTCCGCGAATTGCAGAATTTGTTCCACTTCATATATGCAGCTCACCAGTTGAAGTTATGAGTTATTGTGACATTGAATATTCTCTATTCCTGCTATAGTTCTCTCTGGAGTCTTAACATTTAACTTGAACAATTAATGAACTGTGTTATGGTTCCTATTGCTTAACAGGGAAAAATGAGTTGTTTGATGATCAATGACATTGATGCTGGCCTTGGCAGATTTGGTAAGCTATATTATCTTTACTTGGGTGTTCAAATCTACACTTGTTGGTTATTCTTTTTGTCAGTTTCTATAAAGCATCTCTTCTGTCTAAATCATTGTATATCTTTCTGCTCTCTTTTTAACCAAGAAATAAATACTGTCATTAAAGAGATTGTTTCTTTTCCCGTGAAGGTAACACTCAAGTGACTGTCAACAACCAAATTGTTGTTGGAACTCTGATGAATTTGTGTGATAATCCTACAAGGGTAAGCGTTGGGCAAGACTGGAGACAAAACGATATAACACACAGGATTCCTATTATTGTTACAGGAAATGATTTTTCAACAATGTATGCTCCCCTAATTCGTGATGGGAGAATGGAAAAGTTCTATTGGTACGCCCCCTCTCTCTCGCTTGTCCATTGGTTCATTGGCTTCTTTTCTTGCAACTTGGGAGGATCTATAGGAGTCACTTGTATTACAAATAATATCAGTTAATGAAGGTCTAGTGCAGTACAGAAACCTCAATAGGTCTATCTTTCCTCGGTCTAATTTTTTCTAAACATGTTTTTTTGAGAAGGTAAGATAACTTGATAAATAAGGTCAGCACTAAGTACGTGCTGATGAAACTGTACAATGTTGGCAAAGCAAAAAACCCAAAAGTATTCCCCAGCTAATCCTGTAGTGATTCTATTGTCTGTAAAATCGATTCAGCCTCACTTACATGTTCCAATCTACACCAAAACAAAACAAAAATATACAATTAGCCTTTAACATGTGAATAGAATTAGTAGAATCTTCAAAGCATCTCCTGTTTCTCTCAATCCACACAGTCCACCAAATACAAGCAGGTGTCATATTCCACCAAAGAGATTTACTCTTCCATTTCTTTTTCTAGTCCATGATCTCGTCAAATCAGTTGTTTTCCTGGCATAGTCACTGCATACTAGTGATATTCAAGAAAAGCCGCCATAGTTGAAGAGTGACTTGGCAGGGAAAAATAAATTGCTGATGCTCTCTTCTTGACTCCCACACAGAAAACATTTACTGCATAATGCCAAGCCTCCCTTTTCCAAATTCTATTGCGTGAAACAAACTTCATTGCTCACTAACCATGTAAAACAAGCAACCTTGACTGGTGCTTTGGTCCTCCAGATTTGTGCCCATGGCCGAGCCTTTTGCAGATTCTCCACTTCTGTTAGATCTCTCTAGCATGAACTCACTTAGGGTGTCTTCACTGTTAGAAAGTCACTGGCAGGTGTTTAGAAGATTCAAAAATTCAGCAGCCCCAGTTACCTCCCAATCATAGAAATTCCTTCTAAAATCTATGCTCCAAATCCCATTAAGTCTGCTGTCAGCCAGAGAAAGCAATTTGTTTACTGCTTAGGAGAACAAATCTGGAAATAAATCTGTCAAAGTAGCTGCACCAATCCAGTTGTCCAACCAAAAGAAAATATTCCTTCCATTGCCCACTTTGAAATCATTCCTAATTCTTGAAGCAAGGCCATAGTGATCTGATTTCCCTCCTTACTTATACACCATAGGGTGTCTGCACATCTTTGGACAGTGTGTTTTATTACTGTTATCAGACTAAGATGGTGCTGAGAAAACATCCAAAAACATTGACCAATTGTTTTCTGCCTAACTGTGCAGTGAACCAACAAAATGTATTATGGTATTCGCATCATTTACAAGGTTCATATTACACAAAAAGCTACGGAGATCCTTCCTAGATTTAATTTTGTGGACCACATCATAAATAAGGGTAGGAGACCTATTTTTTCGTTTGAACTAACTGGTGTCCATTTAGCGTTCAAGTTAGCATCATGAACTTGGCACTTTCAAGTTTATGAAAATTACAACGCCACTGTAGCTAATATTGGTAGTGATTAATTTATAAACTTTGGTTTCCGTGTTGATTTTAAATTATGATAACTGTTATACTTAAACTTAACAAAAAATTCTCAGTTGATCAAAAATAATAATGCTAACCTATTTTTAAGAAATTGGTTTTTGGACCTAACTCAACCTCAAAAGCTAGTCAAGACCATATAAGGAGACCACTACTCATTCCCTCAACCAATGTGCGACTTAACACTGTCCACATGCCTAGGACTGCACAACTTGGGCGTGGATTACATAAGAGGCCCAACATTGAGAAACACAACAACTTGGCTCTGATACAAGGTGAAGAAATGGACCTTGAGCCTAACTCAACAGGATTGCCCAAGAGGCCAAGACCATATTAAGGAGACTACAACTCATTCTCTCAACCAGTGTGGAGCTTGACAATATATAAAGCTTTTCAACCCTTTGGAAATAATTTATATGTCCTCCGTGGATAACAATTTGTTGTAATGCATTTCATGACAAGTAGTGACTATTTGCTCTTTCATGATACAGGCAGCCCACCCAAGAAGACATCGAGAATATTGTTTGCAGAATGTACGAGAAAGATGGCATAACAAAGGATGAGGTTGCGACTATTGTTAATACATTCCCGAATCAAGGTGACTAACCATCCATGAGAATTATTTTTGCTTCTCTCATGGCACATATTCAAAGTTTTGATAATTTTTGTGTTGCTCACACTTTGCTTTCTTTCCCTTGGATATCTCTAAAAGCAACACTATTTAATAGGTACAATCACTGTTTTGGTACAGAAACTAGGGCATGTTTCAGTTTTGTCTAATAGATGGCCCAAATATGGTGTGTTTAACACACTTTGGACAATAAGGACTAATGATCTTGCACCATCACATTGCTGCATATGTTGTTATGGGACTATGTAATTGGTTAAGAATTGGTTCAAATATTACACTTCATGATCATAAACGGTTTATATTACTAGATTGTCATGTAGACAGTAGATCTAATGCAATATGCAAAGGTGAGAAAGGTCCTTTTTCCTCTTATATATCTTGTTCATCTCTTGGCAGCATTGGATTTCTATGGAGCTATGAGATCTAGAACGTACGACCAGTCCATCCTAAAGGTAATCTAATTAGAGCAATATCATTTTACTTTATTTATTGCCTCATTTACCTATAAACTACTCCGCTATCATGTTTCAAAGGTCTCTTCTTGTGTTTTTTTTGTTGTGACAAATAGTTGGTTACATAACCTTCTCTCCTTTTGTCACCTAAGATGAAAAGAAGGTAAACATCGTTAAGAAATTTCTTTATCAAAGTCTTAGATTATTGGGGGAAAAACTGATTTAATTGTTTGTTTAATTATCAATTTTCAAATTAGTTTCCAGATGATGGGAAAAGGTGTGATTTGGTGAACAATGACCTTATTATGTCTGAGGATGGACAAAGATGTCAAGTTGCTGAATTATGATCATTGCATTTGTATTCCTGAAGCTAAGTGCTCTGTAAGATGCTTTTGTGTCAGCAAAGGAGAAATAAATGAATAAATAAATAAATCCATGGTATCTACCATCTAAGGTTGGAAAACTACATTCCACATTTTCCTTTCTACCCTGAGAGACAAAAGTAGATGACCATGTTCAGGTATAGCTAAAAAGGTTCATGCTTTTTGCATATTTTTCTGATTTTCCCTAGATTCACATGATGGAAGATCCTTTAAGAGAAGTTCATAATGTTGTGAAAACTTATCAGAAGACGGACATGTGTATAAATTACTCTCTCTTCAACTCCTTTCCATTTACAAAGTTTATGCATTCTTTAATCAATGGTAGAAATCTTGGAACTGAAAGTACTTTTATTAGGAAATCTCTTGGGATTAAGGCATAGTTTTTGTCAATGTTGTAGAATAATGTTATCACTTATCATTTTTCAGGAAAGTGGAGAGCGATAGAACTAGTAACAGTTGATGAGAACTCGGTATTATGGAAGAGACTTGCTAGTCTATTTAGTACCTTAGGGGCAATTCTTGTTGTTTTCAAAATCAGAGTCATAATATAAGAGTTGCCAAAATCATATGGAGGTGCACAAAAGAGTGGGTTAATTACATAGAAGGTCGTTGAACTTATGTATGGTCTAGTTGCAGGAAAATCATCAAACTAATTTTTATAACAAAGAAATCACTCAGCTTTCACTAAATATCCTACAATATCAATTTGGCCAAAAGCCGGTGAAGGTTGACCAGAACTCATCCAGCACATTTTAAGATTAAAAAAAAAATCATTTTAAACTAGAAAATGCTCCCTAACTTAAAACTTAAAAGCAACATACTATAACTTAAAGAAAGGGCAGATTAATTAGCCCTAGAATAACCCTTGGAAATGAATAAATCACCCGCATACATGCTTAAATCAGTAAATAAAAGGATTAATCCGAATGCTTAAATTGATCGATACCCCGCATCTCCACTGGAGCCATTAGATGTTTCCTATGGGATTACTCTAGGTTTTTTTTTGTTGTAATCCTAATGCATAAATTCACAAAAGAGTGGGTTAATTACATAGAAGGTCGTTGAACTTATGTATGGTCTAGTTGCAGGAAAATCATCAAACTAATTTTTATAACAAAGAAATCACTCAGCTTTCACTAAATATCCTACAATATCAATTTGGCCAAAAACCGGTGAAGGTTGGCCAGAACTCATCCAGCACATTTTAAGATTAAAAAAAAAAATCATTTTAAACTAGAAAATACTCCCTAACTTAAAACTTAAAAGCAGCATACTATAACTTAAAGAAAGGGCAGATTAATTAGCCCTAGATTAACCCTTGGAAATGAATAAATCACCCGCATACATGCTTAAATCGGTAAATAAAAGGATTAATCCGAATGCTTAAATTGATCGATACCCCGCATCTCCACTGGAGCCATTAGATGTTTCCTATGGGATTAGTCTAGGTTTTTTGTTGTTGTAATCCTAATGCTTAAATTCACAAAGAGTGGGTTAATTACATAGAAGGTTGTTGAACTTATGTATGGTCTAGTTGCAGGAAAATCATCAAACTAATTTTTATAACAAAGAAATCACTCAGCTTTCACTAAATATCCTACAATATCAATTTGGCCAAAAACCGGTGAAGGTTGGCCAGAACTCATCCAGCACATTTTAAGATTAAAAAAAAATCATTTTAAACTAGAAAATGTTCCCTAACTTAAAACTTAAAAGCAACATGCTATAACTTAAAGAAAGGGCAGATTAATTAGCCCTAGATTAACCCTTGGAAATGAATAAATCACCCGCATACATGCTTAAATCAGTAAATAAAAGGATTAATCCGAATGCTTAAATTGATCGATACCTCGCATCTCCACCGGAGCCATTAGATGTTTCCTATGGGATTACTCTAGGTTTTTTTGTTGTTGTAATCCTAATGCTTAAATTCACAAAAGAGTGGGTTAATTACATAGAAGGTCGTTGAACTTATGTATGGTCTAGTTGCAGGAAAATCATCAAACTAATTTTTATAACAAAGAATCACTCAGCTTTCACTAAATATCCTACAATATCAATTTGGCCAAAAGCCGGTGAAGGTTGACCAGAACTCATCCAGCACATTTTAAGATTAAAAAAAAAATCATTTTAAACTAGAAAATGCTCCCTAACTTAAAACTTAAAAGCAGCATACTATAACTTAAAGAAACGACAGATTAATTAGCCCTAGATTAACCCTTGGAAATGAATAAATCACCCGCATACATGCTTAAATCAGTAAATAAAAGGATTAATCCGAATGCTTAAATTGATCGATACTCTGCATCTCCACTGGAGCCATTAGATGTTTCTTATGGGATTACTCTAGGTTTTTTGTTGTTGTAATCCTAATGCTTAAATTCATAAAAGAGTGGGTTAATTACATAGAAGGTCGTTGAACTTATGTATGGTCTAGTTGCAGGAAAATCATCAAACTAATTTTTATAACAAAGAAATCACTCAGCTTTCACCAAATATCCTACAATATCAATTTGGCCAAAAACCGGTGAAGGTTGGCCAGAACTCATCCATCACATTTTAAGATTAAAAAAAAAATCATTTTAAACTAGAAAATGCTCCCTAACTTAAAACTTAAAAGCTGCATACTATAACTTAAAGAAAGGGCAGATTAATTAGCCCTAGATTAACCCTTGGAAATGAATAAATCACCCGCATACATTCTTAAATCAGTAAATAAAAGGATTAATCCGAATGCTTAAATTGATCGATACCCCGCATCTCCACTGGAGCCATTAGATGTTTCCTATGGGATTAGTCTAGGTTTTTTGTTGTTGTAATCCTAATGCTTAAAGTCACAAAACGAACTCGAATGCAACCATTAGCCGTAAGTTAGCCCTAGATAATGACTAAATCACACACATATATGCATAAATCATTAAATGAAAAAGTTGTTTTATGCATGTCACTTCAATCCGATAATGACTAAATCACACACATGCATGCATAGATCATTAAATAAAAAAGTTGTTTATGCATGCCAATTTAATCCGATAAAAGGTTGTGCATAATCAAAAAATAAGTTATAATCTGCCCTTCTTAAGTGAGGGAGATTTTTTTTACTTTAAAAGGATTTTTAATGGATAGAATGATTATAATATGTGTTTGGATGAGTTCCGTCCAACATTCACCAGTTTTTGGCCAAATTGATATTCTAGGATATTTAGTGAAAGTTTTAGTATTTTTTGGTTTGGAAAAATAGTTTGATGGTTTTCCAGCAGCCAGACTATACGATGTGAGTCATGACGAACATATGCCTCATCAATCTCACCATCAACTGTTCTTGCTTATTATTGGTGATTACAACTAATATATTGTGATTGGTTCTTTTTGACCTCAATGGTGCGCAAGTTTCTAATATGACGCTACCTTTCAAAGGCTTGACTAAATTTCAGTTACTTATTTGTGCTTTCTGCTTTTATGCAGTGGGTTGAAGACACTGGAGGTGCTGAAGATATTGGCAGAAGATTAATTCGTCAAAGAAAGAAAGGAGAACTTCCGGTTTTTGTTCCTCCAGAGGTAAGGCATTTTCTGTTTTCCTTTCTTTTTCATGAAAATTAAGACAGTGTCAGTGCAGGGAGCAATTCTATCCTTACTTTTTCTTAGTGATATTTTACAAACAGCTTTTTTTGTGTTTGTTGATTTGGCAGAAAGNCAATATTTGAGAAGAGAAACCCAGTTTTATGCAATGACTTAGCTCATGGAAAATGAAATGTGTTACCTTCATTAGATCTAAGAATAAGAGGTGGGAGAATTAGAGGGAAAGCAATATTTGAGAAGAGAAACCCAGTTTTATGCAATGACTTAGCTCATGGAAAATGAAATGTGTTTTTCTCCACTAAAGTATGGGAAGACCTTTTCAGCTTTCTCCTCAAGAGTGAAATTTGAAAAGAAGTAGAGCATCTTTAATCTCCAGATGACTTAAGACCTAGTGTAACCTTCATGGGTTTGTCCCTAATCACCTAACGTTTCAACCGAGCCCCGGGATGATGAAGTCTTCCAGCTAAGCGTGTGCCTGAAAACAATCATCCTTTCCTTTTACCTCTTCTCTTGAACTCGATCGTATTGTTTTCCCTTCTTCATATCGAACTTACACAGCTCGTACAAGATTCAATGTCTGCCCTTATCCAAAAAAAAAAAAAAAAAAAAAAAAAAAAAAAGAAGATTCAATGTCGGCCATGCTGTGACAATCCCTGAAGGTCTTCCTCACGGGCTCACACCTTCGTAGCCTTGGATTTCAAGAGCCAACCAGAAATGGATTCAAGCTACCTTTCTCTTCACCATAACTAAACTTGCGTTGGCCCTGATTTTTTCACAAGAAAAGTGTTAGGGCTAGACAGAAATAGTTCCTCTCTCTCCCAACGGGCTGGGCCTGGTTCTGCATTAATTGCTACCTGGCAACAGAATTTTAAGCATTATAGCATAACGAAAAAAGGTTATTGATAATGCAGTAGTTCTTTCTCTTTGTTTTTCTTCAGGTCGTACTCCTAAGCTTACCAATCTAAGGATGGACCTTCGTTTTCCCAATACAGTCTAACATTGCACCTTTAGAGTATGGTGTATTAGCATTAGAAACAAAATCTTGATAAATTTGAATATAGTAAGGTCATCCTCCATAGTGTGGATCATTTATGGATATTAAATTCATCAAGAGAAATTAGTCTCGTTGTTATCCTTTTTTCCCTTGTAAGCTGAAAGGAAGAGTTAGCAGACAAGATCTGTAGTAGCTCTAGCTTGCCTAGAAATTGTTTAAGGTTAAGGTTCAGTGGGAATTCTGCTGAGCTTAAAGTGTGTTCCAAGTTGCCTAGTTGCCCCTATTTGGTCAAATTGTTCTGCTGCTTCTTTAATTTTTCTGGTTGAAATAAATGCATTGTGTCAAAACTAGAGGGGTCAATTTAAAATGAAAGTACGGTGGTGACTCGACTCAATTCATCCCAAATTTTCTTGGGCCAATAGAGTTGGGTCTAATACGTAATGGATAACAGATTATAACACATCCCGCCCAACCCAGGTCCATTTCTAAAAAAATTTCGGTACAGTTGTGTATAAAGAATCATTCTATCCATTAATTCTGTCCTTTCCTTAGTTTAGAGAATTCAGTAACTTATTGAGTGCTTTTTAGCCTTAGGTCTTCACATAGGCGGGTTGAGAATCAACTAGAAGACTACTGAGTTTTATCTACTATAGTCCATTTGAAGGTCAATTTGGGTTGAACCATTGCAACGGTCCTTGATTATATCACTAATCTAAGCTGTCAAACTTACTAACCTAACTTGTCAAACTTTGGGCTAGTCCTATAAATTTAAGCTAATTTTGATATCGTTAGTCAGAGCTCTAGTATGCTTGTTTCTGATGAGGATTAGTATAATCTACCATTAACATTTTTCCCCCCTACTAATTATTGACTATCCTGCCGGTATTTTTCTTGGACAGCAAACGGTTGAAGCCTTGCTTGAATCAGGATACTCTCTTGTCAAAGAACAAAAGTTGATTATGGATAGCAAACTTTCAAAAGAATACATGAAGAACATGGATGAATAGTACGTGACTATATGGTTTATAAATGCTTGAGATTATTTTGTGTACATCTTGACTGAACAAACTGTATACATATTATCCGTAAAGGACGAACCGGAAAAGGGGAATCTAAGTTTATTTTTTCAATTCTTTTTTTTTCTTGTATGCAAAAGAGCTGAATATTTTCCTCTGTAATACTGAGGTCCCAAAATCAGGACATTCCAGAAACCTTTTTTGAGAAAAAAGGATGTGAACTCCCTCTTTATTGTTTAAGTAAATGATGTAAAATCGTTAGCTGAAGGGGAATCTTGGAGCAATGGTCAAGTTGTTTCCGTGTGACTTATAGGTCACGGGTTCGAGCCGTGGAAGCAGGGTAGGCTGCCTACATCACACCTCCTAGGGGTACGGCCTTTCCCCGAACTCTATGTAACGCGGTATTCTAAATAGTGTGGCCATAAAGTAGGTACATATTCATCTCTCAAGGGCTCAAGTCCCCTTCTAATTTAATGTGAGTTAAGGTAGTTTACAAATGGACCATTTCCTTTCTTCACAGCCCCACCAGTTTGATGAGTACTGGATGATCTTGACTAACTGCACTTGGTACTTTTCTCATGGAAGCCTGCTTTCATTGGGCTCACTTATTGTGAGAAACCTGTTTTTCTTCCTTTCTACTTCAGTTTATCTTTTATGCCTTTGTATTTGGAATACAAATGTGCTAAAAACAAAGCGATTATCTGCTGAATCACCAATCCCTAAACTTGACTTTGCTATTGGTAGAGATTTTTTGTTTCCACCATGATTCGAATCCTGTTCTTTAAGGTATTCACCCACTTCATTGACCGTTAGGTTGCACCCTTGAGTGCTTTTGGCGTTAAATCATATTATTGTGATGAAGATTTTGTAACTTTTTTAAATGGGGTAGATCCACGTCAATGGAAATGGCAAATATATAGTATAACAAAATTACATTGTTTATAGTACTTGTAGTGTGTACTTTATTACCAAGGACCTGAGTGAATGTATAGGGTGAAAATTTTGCAGCATCAGAAGTCATTTCAATGAGTTTTGGGTTATAGAATCCTCTCAATTCCAACTTCAATTTTCTGTCAAGTAGCAAGAAAATATGTATAAAATTTACAAAACACCAATTGATTCAAATTATATCTTTTCACCAAAGGCCTTTATCAAATACAGTAGCAGACCGAAGACATTAGTTTGACATAAACCAAACAAAGTTCCGTGGAATTTGATAGAAATCTCTGTGACTCTTATCACGAAAATTGAAATTTCATACGCTAAAAGCTCAATTTCAAACTGGTGCAAATATTTGAAGCATGGCTGCTGGACTAAAAAGACTTCTACATAATTAAATGTTAAAGAATGACAACCAGATTAATCAAATCAAAAGTCCAGATTACCGTTAAAATACTATACTCAAAGGAAGTCACAAATATATATATATATATATATTAAGATCTTTTTAATAATCGCGCCACGCTTTGTCCTTAATAAAATCAATCGAATGAATGGCTCTCGCTGACGAATTTGAGGACCGTTGTATGCATCATTAATCATGCCGAAAATATAATACATAATCGCAATGAAAGAGATGCCAAAGGCATTATAAATTGATAGAGGGACAAGAAGTCAAAATCCAATTGATTAAAAGCATTAATGTTTGTGCATTTGAGTGAGTTAGGAGGGGAGTTCCTTATTCCATCCTTAGAATAAGAAATTTTATATATCTTACTTTTATCTGTTGTAGTAAGTAACTGATTTTTAAGATTATAAATTTTACCTTTTACGGAAGGTTACCGTAATTATATTTTGTATGACCTGATAAGGTAAAATTCATATATATATTGTCGGTGTATGTAAGTTATAACTCCAAACATAAAATTTGTCGAGATCATATAGGATAATAGTAGTACTTAAAATTGTATGAGGAAAGTCTCTTGTTGTGTGGTGTAGGGCTTCTTTCAAGGTAGGTGAGGTAGTGTTTTCATGCTTCATGAAATTCCCACTTCTAAAACAGAATAGAGTGGTCCATTTTGCTAATCCATTACTTAATCAAACTATTTTCAAAACCTAACAAAGTGCTTAATTTTTTTTTTTTTTTGCCTTTATGACTAACTAAGAGGTTTCACTTTTCAAATTATTTAAACAAACGATCATGATCAGTGAAGAATAAATCCACTACAATAGTCTATTTCTTCAAATTAATGGCCATCCCTCCAAGGAAAAAAAAACTAAGAATAAAATAAAAATCATCAGTCCTAGCAAAAATAATAGTAGTACAGAGTACTCCATTGTCTAATTAGGGATAAAACTATTTTATTAGAATAAACAAAGAAAAAGTATGATGATAATTATTAATTAAAGTTGCAAAAGCATAAAAAACAATTAGGTGTTAATTATGAGGCTTCTAGACTTGAATGGTTAATAAAATATCTGGGTCACTAGAACTGTTAGTCGAAGTTGACGAAACGTAAACGAAATCTTTTGGTCTATAGTCTATACTATCACCACACTCTTTACACTTTCTTGTTCCTTCTCTTTTTCTTTTCTTTGTGTTTTTAAGGAAAGATTCGTACTATTAGATGCCATCTTTTCAATTATTACGAATACATAATTCAAGAATTTACGTATAACACACACTTGCACTAACTTTGTCCTTTCAATTTCGTTATTTTTTTCCGGTATAGATTCAATTTCGTTACTGTAGTAAAAATTTATTCACTTTTACGTACATTTGATATGAAGCTCATAATGCAGTAGCTCTTGATTATGTCCCAGAATTAGGGGCGTTTAAACCGAACTGAAAAATCACATCAAATTGAAAAGTCAAATCAAACCGATTAAAATCCGAACCAAAATGACATTTAAATATATAATTTTTCATATATACTTTAAGACTTTATATAGAATTTATTTAAAAAAATATCTAGAAATATTTAGGATCCTCTCATGAGATGTAATATTTAATAGTAGAACTATGAAGTGTATTCATTTTTGTTTATTTTAAATAATGGGTATTATCACTTTCTTATTAAGTGTTATTGAAATGTGTCAATCATCTCTTTGTTTTTTCATAGTCATATGTCAAGATTTCTTATATCTTTTTCGAATTTGAAGCGATATTTCAATAATTTAAAATTACATAGAACATATCATTATTTAAGTCTTATATTAATTTTTATGTTTAATTATTAAATTCGGTTAACCTTGAAAGCGTACATCCACGAAAAAATTATTGTCAGACGACTACTAAGAAAATAAACTATCATGTGTTACTAAAAAAAAATCTCTCATAAGAATACTTTAATAGATCATATGTTCGTTATATTTTATTAATTTTTAATAAACATATATTCACTTATCAAGACTTTATCTATAACTTTAATAAAGTAAGATTGAAATAATATTCATGTAATAAAAAAAAAATCCGAAAATCCAACAAAACCGAACCAATCCAAATCGATATTGTTGGTTTGGTTTGGTTATGGTAAAATCCGAATCAACCCGGTCCATGTATACTCCTACCCAAAATTGTAAGGAGAATTGATTTTTTAGTCCTTTACAAAGTTGTTTATAAACGCAATATAAAAAAAAAAAAAAAGGACATTTTAACTCCTATAGTAAAAGTTAACACCTTATTTATTTTAAATAAATACCATTTAAAAAAATTATATTCTATAAATACCTTTTAAGGTTTATAGCAAAATATTTAATTTTGGTTACCTCCTAGCCCTAAGCCACTAAATACGCTAATAAGTTACACTATTTTCTTTCTCTCTCTCTACTTTGATACATCTCATTCTCTTTCCCATCCCATTAAAACTTCCAATCTCCTCCTCCTTTCACCGGATTTATGCAAAGCCCACTTCAGAAATGCTGGTTTCGACTATGGAATTTCAGGGGATCTCAGGCTTCCTGATCGAGTCTTCCCCGGGCAAAAATCTATTCGCAATCTATGGTTTTAGTATTCGTAATCTGCCATCTCTTTTAAGAAACAGAAGCTTCTGAATGAAGATGAGGTTGTTCTGAGTGATGTGCATACTCTAAATTCTTTGGGAGCCACCGATGATTACTTGGTCCTTCAATATGCACCAACAATGCAAATCATAGTAAAAATTATAAGTGGACGCACTTTAAAGTTAATGGTTGAGTCTGATTATACTGTTGCAGATGTTAAGGTCACAATTCAAGAGGATGAGGGTATTCGATTTCATAAAATCTTTAATCTTTGAGGGATGGCGATTGGAAAATAGTAAAACTCTGGCGGATTACGAATATAATTTCAATGTATTGCAATTCAATGTATCTCATTGTATTTCATGTATTTTATTGTATTCACTGTGTTTTTTTTTCATCGAATTTCATTGTATCGTGCTGTATTCTATGTATTTTATTGGAGTCATTGTCTCGCTATATGCCATTAATGTATTCATATGTTTTTTTTAATTAATATAATTTATGTATTCATATGTATTATATAATTTCTCTGAAGAGTGCTATGTTTTTGGGGTTTTTTTTCGGTTGAGAATCTTTTTTATAACTGAAAATATAATTTTTGTGTGTTATAATTGAGTTTGTTGAGTTATATTAGGAGTCTATTATGTTAATTGATTCACATTCCGTTTTAAAAGCAGTGTAATCCCCTATTTAATGTCGTGAATACAGTCGAATACAATAATTTATCCAGCTGTAATCCCATGTTTCACTCCATGAATACAGTCGAATACAATAATTTATCCAGCTGTAATCCCATGTTTCACTCCATGAATACAGTCGAATACACTCGAATACCACAACACATTAGCTGGACTTTCCTGAATCACATCTATTTTTGCTACTATATTCATGAATACAATAGTTTAAATACATCAAATACATCTTATAACCACAGAAAATGTATCTATAATCCGTAATATAGCAAATAATATTTATAGGTGGTTAATTACAACTAAAAAATTGTGCTTTATGAAAATTTTCCAAAAAAAAATTGGTACGGATTGAAGAATTATGAGGCAATAATCTAACAGACAACGATAAGTGTTCATCCAATAGAATAATTGTGATATCCCTAATTTGATATCCAACCCTAAGTGAATAATATACATTCTTTTTTCATGTTATTGTTCGCTTCGGAGATTAAACAATGAAAACAACTAGTCCCTTCGTTCATTTTTACTTGACACGTTTTGATTTTTCACGCCTCTTAAAAAATAATAAATAAAGTGCATAATTTATCATGATACACATTAATTTATGCATATTTTATTGGATTTGAGAAGATGATTTGAAAGAGTAATAAATATTGTGGGTATAACAGAAAAAAAAATTGTCTTTTCTTGATATGCGTAAAGTGACAAGTAAAAATGAAAATATATTTTTAGTATACCTGCCAAGTAAAAGTGAGCGGAAGGAGTACATAATAGTTAACCCAATACTCAATAACCATGGTTTGGCTGTCATTCTAAAGTTACAATCTATTGGGTTGAGAAACTAAGGTTCACTTTCCTCCAAGAGTCACATTGGTTGAGGATATCAAGTTGAAAACAACCGCATCAACTTGATGATTATTTGATCATACAATATATGGCTGTTTTCTTGAATCATGGTATGATTATCTCCAACAACCTTCCCTTAAAAATTATGTAAATAAGTGGTTAGAAGGTTAATGCAGCCTAAATATATTTAATTTATTTTTTTCGACGTAAAGCCAAGACAAAGATTAAAACCAGTATAAAGTAGAAAACAAAGGAAGAAATAGAGTCTATTTAATAGACCAGACGATTTTGCTTTGTCACTAATTAAACAAAAACATCATATGATCCTTTCAACTGTCCTAATGTAATTGGCCAAACATTTTGCCCCCTAAAGCAAAAGTAACTCCTTGTTGTTTAATTTGATCATAATCTTTATCTTAAAAATTTCATTAAGAGATTCAATATTTACTACGATAATAAAAAAAATTTATCGTATATATATATGTATATATAAAATATTATTTTCGAGAGAGAAAATTGGAATAAACCTTTATGCACCTCTAGTTTCGCAGTCTCTTTTGCTCCCTAAAACAAAAGTAACTCTGTTGTTGTTTGATCATAATTTATATTTTTAGAGAAAGAAGAAATTTCACTAAGAAATTCAATATTTATCATATATTAATAAATTTTTAAATGTTATAACGATGTAATTTTTCGAGAGTGAATTCGGTTAATTAGTCATTTTCTTTCTCAACAAGAACACCTAAAGACTCCAATAATTACTACTTTATGAGTATAAAATTCATTTTCAAATTGATTATAACCACGTGGTCCAAACGCCTGCCGACACTACGGAAAGTCCTCTGTTGGATATTTGATTAAATAAATAGTATATTACAACTTCTAATTGATCTACTTCTCTCACTATGTTTGACTCTATCTATTTTTTCCTTGAATCCTTAGACTTCAATTAAATAAAATTTCTACTCCACCAATATGAACAGCTTTTGCCAGAATTCTTTTAGATTTTCTATAGTTTTGTATTCACTATGTGAAAAGAAAAACATAAGGAATTGAAACGGTATAACATGAGTGATGACATCATTACTTAACTGTTAATTAGCTCTTAACCGCTAACATAATTCAAATTTTGAATAACGAGTCAAATCCTTTTGGTAGTGATTTAACACTTTTCTAAAAGGCAATGTACAGTTCCTAGTGCATTCTAAGTGTAAATGTCATAAGGATAATTTCAAATCTGTTTTGGCTTACGTCTTTAATTATTCTATTACCACCTAAACCTGTCAAACGGGCTGGGCTGATCCGGTTCTAGACCGGCTTAGATCGGCGGTAAAAGGGCAGGTTAGGGTTGGGTTTGTAGGTGAACCGGCATGTGCCGATGTCATCCAAAAATCACCCCGGCCCGTCCTAATAGGCCCGGAACTGTTCCGGTTCAATTTTTCACTGGCTAAGTCCGGAACCGGTAAGACCGGTAATTTGTAACTGGTAACCCATCGATACCAAGACCAGTCGTTCTTCTTTTCCTCTAGCCCGGCCCGGCTCCTTAACACCCATAGTTAGACCTGGATCGTCACTTGAATATAAATCTCATTTTTTTAATTTGGTATAGAAAACATATTTACTTAGTTCAACAAAGACTTGACCAACAAAAAGAGTTTTTTCCATCGGTCTTTTAGGCCGGGTAATTCATCGCTTCCAATCTGATAAAGGGTTTTTTTCTTTTCCACGAAAGTCCGTCCCAATAATTCTTCCAAAAGATATAAATATGAACATGAAAAAAAGGTAACCGCCTGAGTAATAACGATTAAGGAATTTAGACGCTGATGTAGCTAAGAGTCACCTTCATAGTCAATTCATTAGGGTTATCACCTTCTACCCGGAAAAAAATCACTATCACGACTACTACAAAAAGTTTCTTGATTCTCACGAAAATCTTGTGTCCTCCCATGGTTAATACCAATTAAACGCCATCTTTAGATAAACACGAATAAAGTGAAACTTTCCGTTGGAAAAAAGAGGATTCCCCCTTACTTTTCAAGTGATGTAAATAATGAGAATTTTAACCAATTTTAAGTTAACTCCCTCCTCAAAGAAAACAAATGAGATGTTGATCGTTTATTCTTTTTTTTTCTGGATTACGAATCTAATTAATCAGATTAACCCAATCTCAAAGGCTTAAATATCACCGACAATCAAGAAATAAGCAAATGCTTATAAAAATAAAATTCCTCTATTTTAGGAAAATAGAATTATCTTTTCTACTTTTATGTAAGTTAAAATCTCACAGTCAAACAAACCGCCCAATCACCAGAATTTCTGCTTTTTTATGTTGCTTTCCCACTTAAACATGTCACGTTTTTGTATCCACTCAAGTCAAAATACTTGTTCTGACAAAAAGCTTTAAAAAAACAAACAGTAACAATAGTAAGAAAAAAAATGAAAAATACCAATCAAGAAAAAAATAAAAACAAAGTCCAACGCGCAAAACAACCACGTGGCATGAAAATTATTTCTTAAACAAAAGTACTTAACAACAGTGTCACGTGTCGGCGGGTAGATTCCTAATCTAAAACCGAACAAACAAAAAAAATAAAAAAAAGGAAAAAAACATTAAAGTGGGGAAATAGTCATTAATTTCCACTCCTTATAAAAAGTAGAAAAGTGGGATTGAGCCCAACAGAAAACAGTGTTATGTCCTCGTTTTGTTTCCTCTCAAAATAAAAGTGTGTAATTTGTTCTGTTATTTTTTAGAAGAAAGAAAAATAGAGAAGGTCTGGCCGGGTTAAAGATTTTGGTGAGTAGATTGGGAGGTGGTGGGTGTAGAAATAGAAGGAAGAAATTGAAGATTAAATTCAAAGTAATGGATGATTGGTGGCAAAAAATGGTTTTTCCTGTTCGCCGTGTTTGGTTTGCTGTTTCTGCTCGTGTTAAAGCTCGTAAAAATGGTTAGTTTTTTCTTCCTTTATATTTTGGCTTAGAAAGAGTAATGATTTGAGAATTTAACAATGATTCAGTGAATTTGAATTCTCAACATGCAAAAGAGTACATATGCATGTGTTCGTTTTTAGACTATTTCCCCCGTTTTCTTCTATTTTTGTGGGATTTAAATTCTATGAGTTTAACTTTTAAGATTTTAAGAAGACATTATATTTTTAAAATTATGAGTTCATATCTATTACTTATACAATTTTAATAGATTTTTATTCCGCGTAGAAAGTTATGGCTTTAATTGAATTCGTCCAGTTGGTTAGAATAAGAGAGAAACTGGAAACTATAAAATTTCGTTTTTTGTTTTGTTTTGACTGGTACTCGTTTTGAGATCCAACTAATTTATTTCATCCTCATTTGCGAGTTAAACCTCCTGCCAACGGGAACTCCATTCCTAAAATTCGAATTCAAGATTTCTGATCAAGAATAATAGGTACTTATCACTCCATTACAACCTGTGATGAAAACGTAAAATATCGATTTCAGATAGATTACCCGTATGAATTGTACTAAGATTTTTGGGGTTTGCCCAAGTTTGTTTTTTTTTTAAAAGAAAATTTTCATCTTTATATCTTTTATTCATCTATATCTTTCCCTCCTTTTTAATTACTGGTTGTGCCGGTGCGGTGAGTGGGTGGGAGTTGGGAGGTGTGAAGATGAAGGAGAATATGTTTGTGGAATTAACTCAGCACGCAATATGACGCACGTGGAAAGTAAATAAAAAAAAAGATAAAAAGTGAGTTTGGAAACTTGATAGAAGAAAATTTACTTTCATATTTATTGAGACAAAGCATTTATATGACCTTCTTAACAAAGCTTTTTCTTCTGTGTAGCAGATACTTAGTTCTTTAATTTGGACACCATTTATGACTTCATATGCTTATCAGTTCTGATAATAAACCATGTACTAAAATTAAGACTTTACCATAAATTCATCCATGACAAAGTGCTAATTGAAACTTAATTGAAGTTGTCAGGCTTTCTTTCTTTTTTTTTTTTT